CGTCTACCAGGAAGTTTTAAAGCACTTCATGCTTCCTGCTGCTGACCAACTTTATGGGGATGCAGACTTCACCTTTCAACAGGACTTGGCACCTGCACACAGTGCCAAAACCACCAGCACCTGGTTCAAGGACCATGGTATCCCTGTCCTTGATTGGCCAGCAAACTCGCCTGACCTTAACCCCATAGAAAATCTATGGGGTATTGTGAAGCGGAGAATGCAATACGCTAGACCCAACAATGCAGAGGAGCTGAAGACGACTATCAGAGCAACCTGGGCTCTCATAACACCTGAGCAGTGCCACAGACTGATCGAGTCCATGCCACGCCGCATTACTGCAGTTATTGAGGCAAAAGGAGCCCCGACTAAGTATTGAGTGCTATACATGCACATTCTTTTCATGTTCATTCTTTTCAGTTGGCCAACATTAGAGAAACAAACATTTTTTCATTGGCCTTTAGAATATTCTAATTTTCTGAGATACCAGATTTGATGTTTTCATTGGTTGTCACCTATAAATATCAAAATTAAACGTAATAAACATCGGAAATACATTGGTCTGTGTGCATTGCATGAATATAATGTACAAGTTTCACGTTTTGAATGGAATTACTGAAATATTTTCAACCTTTTGATGATATTCTAATTTACTGGCCAGCACCTGTATAATAAATATTCTAAATAGCAAAAATATTTCACACGTAACAAACTAAAGATAATCACTACAGCATTGCACTTAGAATAGAAAACACAAACTAAAATTAAAACCTAACCTTGATGCAAAGTCATCAATAATGTCATCACATGAAATCTGCTCCCCTACTGAGTGATTGATACTAATCAGAGCCAGGTTAGTGAGCCGCCCCTGAAACATAGATGACCTCAGGTATGACTTGATCAAGTTTTGAAAAGCTCCTCTCAGCTTGAGCCACAGTGACTGGCAGAGCAGTCCAAAAGTTGGGGTAGATCTCCAATAGATCTTTATCATGATATTTTAGAATTGCCTCTGAAATTGTAATTTAAACTGACATAAAAAACTGTAGACTACCAAAAATGCCAACTTTTACAGAACAAATCATGTAAAAAATAATCAGTGCAGCCATCTGCAATAAATAAACAGGATAGTTAGTGGTGACTGGGGAGTTTTCTTCTGCTTGTAGAATTGTTTTATTTATTATTATGTGAACATGATCAACATGTGTTTGTTGTTGTTCAGGCAGGCCACGGGCTGTAGTGAGCATTTAACAAATCCTAGTTTGAATCAGTAAAAAACGATTCAAGGACTTTTTTCAAACCATTTGAATATTCGTTTAAATATTTCAGCCCTATTAGCTCTGTTAGCAATTAGTTGACCGCATTTAACCGTTAAAATCCCAGTTAACTGGTTCAAAAAATTGAAAACATGCATCATGAGAGCTACATACCTTTATCTTTCTGCTCTTTTTTTCTTTTGTTCCCCCTGAATGGGGCACCTGGTGGTTTTAGCCTTTTTATGTTCATCTCTTCTGTTTGTCTCCTGACTCAGTAAGTTTCCTTTAGTCGGGACTAAACCATTTGACCTTGATGGGGGGTGACCACAAAATCGTTTTGTTTTTCCTTTTTTTATTCGGCCATTTCACACAATTCAGAGAAACCTGAAAGAATGATAGGCCTGTGTTTATGATATTATGAATGAAATATGGAAGAACGTTAAGATGTGATTGACTTTAGCCATGTTAATACAGTTGATTCAGCCCCTGCACGCTCATTTCATTTGGGAAAGACGCAGAGGTGAATTCCCCCGCCGCACCCCTCCCCTTCCTGTTCTTTAGACACACGGAGCACGTGAACGTTCTCAGTCAGCAGGAGCGCCTGCAACTGCAGGGGGCGCCAACTTGCTGTTTCCAATCCAGACACTGTCATAAGACAGATAATAGAAAACCTCGGTGCGGCGCAGATTTCCTTTTTTTTTTTTTACTCCGCGCTTGTGCGCCCCTTTTGTGTCATGAAAAAATGCCGCCCCGGGCAACTGCCCTGTCTGCCCGTGCCTAAAACCGCTACTGGTTCTGTTGCCCAGACGCGGAGAGACGGAGATAGCCGGCGTGGTTATCTCCTGTAGGTGTAGTTTGAGTGTTTTGAGGGCTGGTAAGCCTGGAGACTCGATACAAAGTCTGGTGAGAAACGATGACTGAGCAATGAATGAAACGCCGGCACTTCCTTAAGTAGTGCCGGCGTGATGACGTCAGTCGCCACGTTGGTGGCAGGAATGAATGGAATGCAGTCAGCTGGAGGAGTTCGTGACAGTTCTAATGGGAAACAGGCTTCAACACAAACGGTTGTTTTCTGCTTGGTCCTAAAGCTCAACCAGTGTCAATTTAATATAAAGTAATATTGTTTTTGGATGGTAAAAAGTGCAGGGGGTCAAAACTTGACTTTGGAAAAAGTGGGGGGGGGGGGGGACATGTCCCCCCCCCCCCAAAATTACGCCCATGATAGCATGGATCCGGTCTCTCTTTCTGTCTCAGTCCCGCTTCTTTTATGTTGTTCTTGGCTGATTAGCTGATTGGGTCCAGCTGTGTAGGGAGCCTAAGTCTCCTCCCTTTCCGGTCGGCTCGTGGGTCTCCGGAAGAACGAAAATACGAACGCAAGTCATCGGGGCTAAAAGAGCTATTTTCTAATCCGCCTTGCTTTTTGCCCTGAATTGTGTGAATTATGTTGTACTTCAATTTAAATTAAAAGTAATGATGGGCGTCAGTCACGTACTTTGAGTTTTATCAGCTTGTGAAAGTTTGTGATTAGCATGACTACAAATCCGATATCGGCACGTCGTATATATGATGTCACCACATTATCTCCTCCCCCCAGCGTAGCTGCTACTTACCACATGGCAAGATCCTGGTGGTTCTTTCCTCCTGAAGGAAGGATGAAGTTTGCTGAACTTACAGCCATTTTCTCTCTGTTTTTCTCTGTGTCTGATCATTACGTGAAGCACATTTGTAGTCCTGGACTTTTTTTTCACAATTTCACAATTTTACACTACAAATGTGCTTAATATACTGTATATATATATTCTCATCTCACCCTCAGCGGGTGGTCTCATCCTTCCAAGCTCGAGTCCTCTACCAGAGGCCTGCGAGCTTGAGGGTTCTGCAGTATCTTAGCTGTTTCTAGAACTGCACTTTTCTGGACTGAGACGTCTGATGTTTTTCCTGGGATCTCCTTTAGCCAGTCTTCCAGTTTGGGGGTTACTGCCCCCAGTGCCCCGATGACCATGGGCATTACTGTCTACACCGTTGCCGCTCAATCTGCCTCACTTCTCAACTAATCCCGTGATACAAGCTAGTTTTAAGATTTGATCACAAATCATTTTAAATATACTTCCCCATCAGTACACATGCCCATCACTCTAAATAATTTATTTCCTCCTGGTCTCACTGATGTTATATATCCCCAGTGGCGACATCAAGGAAATTACCACCTGAAGTGTTGCGCCAATGCCCTATTCAGTGGCACTACTGGTTACTGATGCGGGTGGTGGTCTTTACGTGTGTTTAAAAGAATTGCAGCTTGTGTTTATTTCCGATGATGTTTATTAGTTCGTCTTCTTCCAAAATGTCCATGATCCATTTACTCGCAATTAAAGTGGTTTACAATGAATGCGTTACTTGCCCCAATGGCTGTCCGCAGAGTCCATTACACACAGCCATTGTCCTCGCTACACAGTAAAAAAAAACTGTTTGTCCCATTTCAGCAACATCTGAGTCTGATCTGCATTGGTTTAAGTAGGCTGGTGCTTCCACAATCAAATCAACCAATCAGCTGAGGCCAAGCCTCCTCTCAGGTATGCAGACATAAAACACATTTGACTCCTACACCACCTTTGAGGACCTCTATAGGAATGGTTCTTTTTGGAGTTTTTCAGAACCCTCTTCCAAAGCAAAACTTTTGCTCTCTCACCTGTTCCGTTATTTTCAGGAACAGGTGCATTTACTTTTGCTGAGGAAGGTGTTTCCTAACCAAAACACATTTTATGTTTTTTTTTTTTTTACAAAATCAAACATAGTTATAGTGATAGTTAAAATATAACTATAAATAAATGTAATACATAAAAATGTAAAACCCCAACAGGCTGCACCAAAAACGGCCATAGTTGCCCACCCTACGTTGATTACAGCTATGCTCTGGAGAGTGAGGAACCCACCCAACATGGCAGCCACGCTTTTACGCTCTCCAGCTTCCAATGAGGCGTCTACGTAATGACGTCGCAATAAGGTTGCCAAGTTTGTATTTAATACATGTTTTCCGTAAACAAGCCCCCTTTAAATAACAAGTTATATAAAACTGTATTAATAAGTAATTAATATCCTTTTCCATGGGGCAATAAAATATTTTTGTCTTATATAATTCACGCTCTGGCTTAAAAATGTTTTTTGTTAAATCTGATTTAATTTAGTAGTGTTTAGTAGCATTTGATCTATTTTTACATCTATAAAAATGTCAAAAAGATTCTACACTTAACTAGTACATGTATGAATACAGAATCCTTGCTCAAGTATCTGGCAACCCAGCAAGAGCTACTGCTGCGTTTTGATCGCTAGCTACTAGTCGGCTGCGTGAGAGTGGGAGATGGACTGAGTGAGGGTGCTCTCTAGACCTGTTCCCGATAGCATTGCTATACCCACAAGCTAGGCTGAAATAACAGACGATTTTTATTGCTACATCAACAACAAAAACAGTGTCATTATCAGTCTTTCACATCCCACTCTAAACACACTAACACGGCATTGATGGTAATGTATGCAAGGAAACAACCGAGACTCGGCGATGGGTAAACATCATTTTAACGTTACTTATTTTCTTTTTCCTCGTAGCTACTGCGCTTTCACAATCCGCCATTTTTACTGAAAGCCAAATTAAGTGACTAGAAACTTGAGCGTTCAGCTGTTGCTCCACTGGAAAACACATTTTCAGTGCCGATATTTGATGTAACACATTCACAACTGTTTACTTTCTGTCTGCAGGTGCGACCGAAGAGATTCTCAGCCCTATCAGGTACTTGTTTGGACACCCAAGGCTGTTAGCATGCTAGCAGCAAAAAAGATTAAAATGGACACTCTAGCTCAGGCTTCTGTGGTGTGCAGGCCTCGGTGCGGAAAATAACACGAAAAGTAGTAGGAGTCTCGCTTAAAATCACAATTTAAACACAGAAAACACACGCAACGCGTCTATTTTGGGGCCCACGTAACGTACGCGTACACAGGGCCGTCGAATAACGCTGCTTTGATACGACAGAAAGACTTTTACTGCGGATCAAAGCTAATGTTAGCTGATAGCCTGGTTGCTCGCTATTCCGATTAGGGCGCCGCCGAAAATCAGTCATTTTAAGGATGTAAGCAGCAAAATGCGACTAGTTTATGGCCTGAGGCTGTACACGTAGAATAAACATGACACTGAAGCGAAGACTAATCAGAACGTGTCTCCTGAAGTGTTGCCTGGCCTTTTAAAAGCCTGGTTGTACGTAACTATGTTGGTTTATGAGCGCCTCTCTATGCCAGGTTAGTGAGACTACCTCTAACTCTCATTAATCAAGGTGAGCTCAATAAAATTGCGTTCTGTTGGATCTTTATCAACTTTACTGAAGCTGGCGTCATAAAGGAGATATTAGGGTTGATGTTCACTCAAGAGGCAGGTGTCTTAATGGTAATGAAACAGTCTGATGTTCTTAATGACTGGAGGTTCTGCTCTTGACGCGTGATTTTAGCAGGTAAATGTCCTCATTTACAAACGAGGTGTTTCAGAGGGAGCGCACAGAGAAAAATCAAATGGAAGGAATCTGGTTTCTCATAGTGGAATGAAGCAATGTTTAGTCCTTGTGCTCTTCCTCATTTCCCCCCTCTGCCATGAAATTGTGTATTTGTAATAACACAAGCTAAACGTGACTCAGTTTAAATCCTTTGGTCGTGTACATTTGTAATAACACGCATTATGGAAGTTCCTCTGATGTAAACCAGCTGCGATTACTACAGTTCCCTGACATGTTTGTTTTGTGTTTACAGACTCTTAAGTACTCATCCAAGAGCCATTCAGGAGGGGACCATCGACACGAAAAGACGCAAGACTCCTCTGATGTCACTCCTCCCTGCAAAATGCTCAGGAGGTCTGACAGCCCTGAGAACAAACACGTGGAGAGCACAGGACACAGCAGAGCCAAGGCTGTCCACACACACCGGGTCAGAGACCGGGACGGAGGTAAGGTCCTGGTTAATGCAGATAACTAGATGAGTATCACCAGTACGCCACATAACTAAATGTTCACTAAGTTTACCACATGCTGCCTGGTCAGTCAAGTGTAAAGAGCAAATCATGTTAAATATACACGGCTTTCACCGCGGCTTGAAAGCCTGGAAAGTGTTTGAATTTTTAAAATGATGAATTTTCAAGATTGTGAAACTGGTTGTAGAGAAGCAATCTTTCTTTTCTCAAGACGAGGAGGATTTTTTAAGGGCATGATGGTTTGGCTGTGTTTACTTTAGCAGCATGCTATCCAGGTGTAGTTAGCTTGTCATCTAAAGATGTGTGTGCTGTAGCGTGAGCCACAGTTAGGTCCAGCATCTGGGTGTGTGTGTGTGTGTGTCTATGTTTACTATAGCTCCATTCTCTTGCATCATTTTTGACCCATGAGCTGACTGGAAGCAGAGGAGACTTGTGTAATGATAAATGCCTGTGTTGGTGGAACCAGTGGATGCTAAGGCTGGGCAATATGGACCAAAACTTATATCTCAATATATTTTTGCTGAATTCCCATATAAATATATCTCAATAGTTTTCCTCCTGTAAAGTATTTACAAGTTAACTCACTTCAAGCTGTCTTGAGAAATTATAAACATACATCAGTATATTAAATGCATAAAAATGTGTTGATTCTTGTCAAACTTTAACCGTAGTGCCTATTCTCTGGTGCAGCGGTCTGTTAACACACACACACGCGCGTGCACACACACAGTTGAGAGCTAGAGGTGTATCAAATGTCCCAGAGGCACTTTTTAATTATATATTTATAATTAATATAAAATAATTTCAATTTCTTCTAGAGGTGGGCCATATTGTATACTTCTTGCCCAGAGAAAAAACATCTATCATGTTAAACTAAATTTATGATGATGTAATTGCATCTACTGAAGATCACATGGGTCATGCACCATGGAGTTAATAGTTATCAGGGCAAACATGGCTGGAGTCTAACAGTATTGGCTCATATCAGCGATTATACTGCAATGACTCAGAGACTCTGGTTGCTGTTTTATGAGTATTATTTTCAGGCTTCTGTCACCGTAACCCACGCCTTCCTAACTCTTCACTTGTTCAACAGAATCGCTCGTAACAGAGTACTTACTAGCATAGCAAACCAGACCGGAAAAAAACGGAACAACATTTATCTACCGTTGAGCTCGCCTTCAAAATAAAACGGTTACCCTATATTTTACTATTCAAACCCTTACAATAGGTTTGAGGTAGTTTGGCCACTCTGGCTATCCGTAGATGTTTCCTGATTGCACGGGGGTGAGGGGTTTTGCTTATCTCTCCACACAAGCAGGATGGAAAAACAACTTTGTTGGCGTTGAACGTCCCCAAATAATGAAAAACCAGGACGCCAAATGCAAAGTTTAGAGCAGCACATTTACCCAGAGGCTCTCAGATTGAGCAAACTTGTGAGAATACAAGTAATGGCCGCTTCGAGACAGAGCAACATGTCGCTAGCATAGCGGCTAACTGCTAGCATTAGCAGCTAATCGCTAACATAGCAGTTTGACCATTTATGTCACTATAAAGATGTAAAGTCATCTTGTTTAAAAATTATATCAATATTTTAAAAATATCGATATATCCCCAGCCCTAGACCCAGTCAGAGCAGCTGCTTGTCACCTAAGCCACAGGAGGACCGCTCCAACTATGGATGTGTGTTGGTGAAATTCAGGCGATACGATACAGGGGAGACAATATGATGCATCACCTGTCATGTATTGCAATACATTTAGTCAGACGATATTAGCGATTTTTTTACTGAATATATTGAAGGAATATTCATTGAACAGTCCAAACTGTTACGTAACGTGTTTAACGAGGTCTCTGAAGCATAACAGAGATTTACATTTCAATGGTGGAAACAAAACCCTTTGCACACTGCTGCCAACTAGTGGTCGGTGTTTGAAGTGCACCAAAAGAAAAGAGAATGCACAATTGTTTGCATGTAAATTCTTCCAAAAATTAGATACACAGCTTTTAAACATCCATGTAATATTACAGGGAAAAATATCACGATATATTGCCACATAGATTTTTTTTTCCATCCCTCGTTCCAGCCAAACACCGGGTCAGTGCTAGCCATAGAAACAAATCCAAAAGATCAGGGCTGCAGCAACTATAAATTTTGCTGCAGGGTTTTAGTTTAGCCACGGATATTGCATGAATGGATTTCATATCTGTATTACAGGTTGAATATAGAACAATAAAAGCGATATTTCTTCAAAAGTAATTCCTCCACGGGGCATTTCGAGGTGTGCAGAATGAAGGTTCAGTATTTCCTTTAAAAGCTATATTCTAATTAAACATAAAATATTTGTTTTGACGCTGGGTTTACGTTTCCATCTACCAGCCAGTAGATGGCACTATTGCAGGCTGCCAGTCAGCACAGTGAAGCTGGCGCTGTGGAAAATGGCGGACTCGGAAAGTCAAGCAGCTGCTTCTGAGCCCAGAAGATGTTGTTAACCTCCTCAGAAGAGGAGCGACCATAAAATATCTAAAACCAGAGTGAGTTTAGGTGAAGCTACAGCTGATGGACACAAATAAATAATTTCACGTATCGGCTGTGAACCTGGTTTGCTGACGGCTGGTAACATTGTTCCATTGTTGCAGCTGCAACCTCCACTCACTAGATGTTGCTTTGGTGTTCCTGTTCCATGTTCAACCTTTAACAAGTACACTCACTGGCCACTTTATTGAGTACACCTTGCTAGGGTTGTCACGGTATGAAAATTTAACCTCACGGTTGTTGTGACCAAAATGATCACGGTTTTCAGTATTATCGCGGTATTTTTTAAACAGTGTTGCATATGTTCAGAAAGCATTGATAGTCCTGTTCTACACAAACTGAAATAGGTTTGAAAAGGTTTAACAGTGTTTATTAAACCTAAAATAACACAAAACCTTAGCAAAAGTGCAACTTTTCACAAGTAAAGGAACAAATAGTTTCTTTTTCTGGAACATGTTACAGTAATGCAGGTTTAAATGATACAAATCCAAACATTCAAAACATAAACAATATGTAAACAAATCAAAGAAACACCACTTGTCTTCTCATATACTTGTTTTCTTCATTATCAAAATGAAAATCTAAAACTCCAGTCCACACTTGACTTGAGCACTGTACAAGTCAAGCTTAAAAAATATGTATTTAAAATAAATAGCCACTTTAAACAAATTACTAAAATAACTACTACACTATGTAATCAAATCCACGTATAAATGGCATTGAAGAAGTAAACAAATCAATGACAAGGAACTAATTGTATATTTCTCTTCATCAACAAATAAGATGCTTCATCCAGCAACAGGGTGTCCGTGACACGGTTTAAATGCTAGCAGAGGACGCTGCGGCTGCAGTATATAGTGACTCGTTGCATTCTCTGTCAACCAAAAGTCCTCACGTCATGCATTTAAGCTAAAATGCTAATGTTAACTTACCTTGCACTGGCTGTAGAGACGTGGGTGATGGTCACGCAGATGTGCCATTAGATTCGAAGTGTTGCTGCCTTTTGCAGACACTTGTTTCCTGCACGTTCTGCAAACGGGATAGCAGTTTTCTATTAACTGTCCCTCAGCATTTTTCAGAAATCCAAAATATGCCCATACTTCCGATTTAGTCTTCTTTGAGGGCTGGTGGATGTCCTGGGCGCTGCCGTCTCCTCCTTCGGCCATTATTTCAGCTTCAAAGTTTTGGTTGCAAACTAAAAAGTGCGTGTGCGCGGGAACTTCAGCAGAAGCGACGGTGGCTGGTAAGGGTCACCGCGCCTAAACCGCGGCCACGGTAAACCCACCGAGATAATTTAGTTTTTTAAAAACTGGACGGTTATTTTTATTGTCAACTTTTTTACCGGGGTTTACCGCTCTACCGGTTACCGTGACAACCCTACACCTTGCTAGTACTGGGTTGTGCCCCTTTTCCCTTCAGAACTGCCTTAGTCCTTCGTGGCAAAGATTCAACAAGGTACTGGAAACATTCCCCAGAGACTTTGGTCCATACTGGCATGACACTAGGCCTGCAACCTTATGTGAGTGAGGGAGAGGGAGACCGTTGGTGAGGGTGGGAGAGAGAGAGACAGTAGGTGAGTGAGGAAGAGAGAGACAGTAGGTGAGGGAGGGAGGGAGGGGGAGAGAGACCGCAGGTGAGGGAGTTAGAGAGACCGCAGGTGAGGGAGGGAGGGAGTGGGAGAGAGACCGCAGGTGAGGGAGGGAGGGAGGGGGAGAGAGACCGCAGGTGAGGGAGTTGGAGAGACCGCAGGTGAGGGAGGGAGGGAGGGGGAGAGAGACCGCAGGTGAGGGAGGGAGGGAGGGAGGGAGAGAGAGACCGCAGGTGAGGGAGGGAGACTGCAGGTGAGGGAGGGAGGGAGACTGCAGGTGAGGGAGGGAGGAAGAGAGACCACAGGTGAGGGAGGGAGGGAGAGAGAGACCGTGAGTGAGGGAGGGAGGGAGAGAGACCGCAGGTGAGAGAGGGAGGGAGAGAGAGACCGTGGGTGAGGGAGGGAGGGAGAGAGAGAAAGACCGTAGGTGAGGGAGGGAGGGAGGGAGGGAGAGAGACCATAGGTGAGTCAGGGAGAGAGAGAGACAGTAGGTGAGTGAGGTAGGGAGGGAGAGAGACCGCAGGTGAGGGAGGGAGGGAGGGAGAGAGAGACCGCAGGTGAGGGCGGGAGAGAGAGACTGCAGGTGAGGGAGGGAGGGAGGGAGGGAGAGAGAGACCGTGGGTGAGCGAGGGAGAGGGAGGCTCCTCCCACATGGGAGCAGGTTCAGGCTGGTTTCTAGAGCTTGGTCCATCAGGGCGAGTGTGGAGTCGAGAACATTAGTTGACTTAAAAGTTTAGCTTGTCGTTAAAAAAAGGTTTGAATGTTTCTGACGTCGCACATTAACTCAAACAAGCTAACGTGTCGGAGCGTCTCTCTTGCGCAGCTGACCAGCATAAACTAGGCCTAGTAGCA